TGCTTTTGATTGCAGATAAGCCTGTGTTATATGGTGAAGTTATGTTTGTCGAAAGACGCGACTAACGGGATCGTATAGGCGGATCCAGAGGGTGTGTGTGTGTGTGTGTGTGTGTGTACATGGTTACGCACCCCCACCCCCACCCCTCTTTGTCCTGAAAGTTTATTAACGGACCATTGAAACTCTCGTGAAAATGAAGTGTGCACCCCTCCTTTCTCAATATTGTGCATCCCCTTCTTTCTCAAAAAGCTGTATCCGCCCCTGGAACGGTACCATTCCGCAGCGATATGCAGCCGTAGTCTGCTTTTACCTCTGGCTACACTTATGTATACAATTAAGGACATACCATTGTGTCAGAAGACGGATCAGTAATCCTTATATTGTTGGCATGTGAAAAACATTCATGATATTGTCTTGTGAACGTTACTCTTCAAGATTTCCATGATCATAAGATAGCGGTGTGCGGTCAAACCCTCCATTGGTTTGTTCATACAATTCAATTGAAAAGGCAGATTTTTACATGTCTTTCCATATTGTAAACATGTGAACTTGTTTCACGAGCCGAGTCATACCACCTACAGTCTGGGTTCAAATGAGAACGATGAGTAATAAAATACCTGGAAATAGGGATAAGTGCACAGAACATAAATAAGACGAGTGGTCCTGAAACCTTAGTCTCTCGTACAGACCCTGAAGCAAATATATCCAAGACAGCCCACACAAGTCTAGAAAATGTGGCAAGTCTAGATTTCCTCAGAAGAAGGTCTCAGGGCTCCTTTTCATTATATTTTATATGTTTTTACTATGACCATTTTTCAGTAAAATATGTTCATTTCAGAGACTAGTTGTTAGTCTACTGAAACCTCTGTACGCTGTAGAATCTAAAATCTGATGTTCTATCATCGATCACGGAAAAGGTTGTTTAAGAAACTATCATGTAATATTGTTCTATTCTCACGCTTCACAACGGCTGGTGGAGCCGCGCCGGCATGCACAGCCAGGTGACATGACCCCTAAAGTCGGCAAATCGCCAGCCTGGAAGGTGCAGTGGCTGAGCGGGTTAGCCAGCTGACTTTGTGCTGGCGATTGAGGTGCCTGACTCTGAGGGTGTGGGTTTAAATCCCGGATTGGGCTCAACCCATGCACGATCTGTTGTACAGTTTTGGTTTTGTTTGGGAACAGCAATTTGTTATTTGAAGATGAATACCATTAGCTCTCGTACCATCTATTGTACCAATCCAAGTTAAGCTAAATTCAAATTGATCATGTCATCAACACATTGTAAACTTCTCAATATGTTTATTTATCATGCAATGTATCTAAGATTTTAAAATTATTAATTTGTACTGTGCACACCATAGTTTGCCATGTACAATGTAACCTACGTACGTATGGGCCTACACTTCCGTAATAAAGAACTGAATGTCGGCAACGACGATGTGAAGCCAATGCTTGGTTCCCTGGCCATACAAGCGTTTCAGTTGATAACAGCAAACTATGAGAACATAATGTCTGTGAGTATGTCTGATGATGTACTTGAAGAGTAGTTTATGTTTATGAATATTGTATGTCCTCTTCTTTGAGTTTCGGTGTCACTTGGTTACAGAAGAGTTGCATCCCTTTACAAAATATCATTTGTGTGGTAAATAAATGGCGGACGTGTAAAACACTGTCAAACTACCTTCAAGGAAAATTCCCTCTGAAACCCAAATTGAAGTCTGAACTTAATGGTATGGGAATTATTGAACAGGTTTCTGCCCCTACAGATTGGTTTTCAACAATGGTTCTTGTGACAAAACCAAGTAGGATGATTAGGGTTTGTCTGCATTCTAAACCTCTTAACAAAGCATGGAAGCGGAACCATTATCCAACACCAACTATACATGATGACATGTTGCTTTTTGGAGTTGGTGATACATTTGAAGAAGCTCTTGATGACCGCAATGGAAAGTTGAAATCTTTTATTAACAGATGTAGAGAGAAAGGGATAACCTTGAACAAGAACAAAATCAAGCTGAGCAAAACTGAAGTCTCCTATCTGGGTCACATCGTTTCCCCTGAAGGTTTGAAAATCGTTCCCTCGAAAGAGGAGACAATTACCAAGATGCCAGATCCTGTTGACAAAGTTGGAATTCAGGGGCTATTAGAAATGACTAACTTTGTTCAAAAGTTTGTCCTTCAATTGTCCGACGTTACAGTTAAAAGTTGATGTCAAACTCCTGTAGTATTCAGCAATTCGTGGACAAGCTTTGAGTGAAGTGAAGAAGATCATATCTTCACCTCCTGTGCTCAAGTACTTCTCTTGAAACAGCTGTGCAGTGTGACACATATAAAAAGGGTGCATGTTTGATGCAGAAAATTTATGATTTTGTCTTGTGAACGTTACTCTTTAAAGATTTCCATGCTCATAAGATAGCGGTGTGCGGTCAAACCCTCCATTGGTTTGTTCATACAATTCAATTGAAAAGGCAGAGTTTACATGTCTTTCCATATTTTAAACATTTGAACTTGTTTCACGAGCCGAGTCATACCACCTACAGTCTGGGTTCAAATGAGAACGATGAGTAATAAAATAACTGGAAATAGGGATAAGTGCACAAAACATAAATAAGACACGTGGTCCTGAAACCTCTGTACGCTGTAGGATCTAAAATCTGATGTTCTATCATCGATCACGGAAAAGGTTGTTTAAGAAACTATCATGTAATATTGTTCTATTTTCACGCTTCACAACGGCTGGTGGAGCAGCGCTGGCACGCACAGCCAGGTGACATGACCCTAAAAGTCGGCAAATCACCAGCCTGGAAGGTGCAGTGGCTGAGCGGGTTAGCCAGCTGACTTTGTGTGCTGGCGATTGAGGTGCCTAAATCTGAGGGTGTGGGTTTAAATCCCGGATTGGGCTCAACCATTGCACGATCTGTTGTACAGTTTTGGTTTTGGTTTTGTTTGGGAACAGCAATTTGTTATATTGAAGATGAATACCATTTTGCTCTCGTACCATCTATTGTACCAATCCAAGTTAAGCTAAATTCAAATTCCTCATGTCATCAACACATTGTAAACTTATCAATATGTTTATCTATCATGCAATGTATGTAAGATTTTAAAATTATTAATTTGTACTGTGCACACTATAGTTTACCATGTACAATGTAACCTACGTACGTATGGGCCTACACTTCCGTAATAAGGAACTGAATGTCGTCAACGACGATGTGAAGCCAATACTTTGGTTCCCTGGCCATACAAGCTTTCCAGTTGACAACAGCAAATTATGAGAACATAATGTCTGTGATCATGTCTGATGATGTACTTGAAGAGTATGCTGATGGCTTTCGAACCTGTCTGTTAGGATGTAAACTTAAGCGTATGTTTATAAATATTTTATGTCCTCTTCTTTGAGTTTCGGCGTCACTTGGTTACAGAAGAGTTGCATCCCTTTACAAAAAATCATTTGTTTGGTAAATAAATGGCGGTAAATTTGTTTGGTAAAATAGTCATCATGTCAACACTGTCAAACTACGTTCAAGGAAAATTCCCTCTGAAACCCAAATTGAAGTCTGAACTCAAGCGACTCGATGGTATGGGAATTATTGAACAGGTGTCTGTCCCTACAGATTGGTTTTCAACAATGGTTCTTGTGACAAAACCAAGTAGGATGATTAGGGTTTGTCTGGATTGTAACAAAGCATGGAAGCGGAACCATTACCCAACATAAACTATACATGATGACATGTTGGTTTTGGGAGTTGGTGATACATTTGAAAAAGCTCTTGATGACCACAATGGAAAGTTGAAATCTTTTATTAACAGATGTAGAGAGAAAGGGATAACCTTGAACAAGAACAAAATCAAGCTGAGGAAAACTGAAGTCTCCTATCTGGGTCATATCGTTTCCCATGAAGGTTTGAAAATCGATCCCTCGAAAGCGGAGACAATTACCAAGATGCCAGATCCTGTTGACAAAGCTGGAATTCAGAGACTATTAGAAATGACTAACTTTGTTCAAAAGTTTGTCCTTCAATTGTCCGAAGTTACAGTTAAAAGTTGATGTCAAATTCCGATAGTATTCAGCAATTCGTGGACAAGCTTTGAATGAAGTGAAATAGAGAATCTCACCCAAGTGTCTACTGATATCAATTATATCAACACGAGCTGATAAAGTTACAAATATCCGAGGCTTGCCGAGGATATATTTTACCTTTATCAACGAGTGTTGATATAATTGATATCAGTAGACACGAGGGTGAATTTCTATTTATCATCAAAATCATTCTTCATTAGTTTTCAATGACAAATGTACATCTCTCAACACTGTACTACCATTAGACTTGCAGTGCAGCGATGTCATAGCATTGTGACTTCATCAAGTTGATGACGTCATAGCATTGTCAGAGCATTGTACAAAATCTACTGTCAAAACGATATCTCCTCGGAGATATCATATGATCTCACACAAGCGATATCTCCCGTGGAACACAGTTTTGGATGATAAGATCATATCTTCACCTCCTGTGCTCAAGTACTGACACATGTGAAAATGGTCTAGGTGCATGTTTGATGCAGAATGGGCAACCCATTGAGTATGCTTCTCCTCCTATGACACAGACAGAAGTCAGTTACGCAGAAATTGAAACGGAGCTATTAGCCATAGTGTTTGGTCTCGAGAAGTCTGTGTATGCTCATGGCAGTAGTGTTAATACTGAAACTGACCATAAGCCACTTGAGACTATTTTGAAGAAGTCTTTCTTCGATTTGGGGACTGTGTTTGGGATTGTCCGATTTCAGAATTAAATAGGCCATGTATCTAAAATATATATTTTAGTATCACGCTTTGATTACTTGTTTGCTTTCCTGACCCCCCGTTGCATATCAGGTCATAACACATCCAGGGAATTTCATTGGCTGCTTCTCGAACCTTGACCTTTCTGGTACAACCTTTACTTGATTAATTGGTTGGTTGGTTAACTTCATCACAAGAATACAAACGAAGGCAATAATGGATTCTTACCAATGTAGTTTTATTGATTGAAACAAAATTGGATACAAGGTGAATATGCATACGTACATATATCATTAACAACATCCGTTTAATACCAAGTATATTATGTTAGTGCAAATGATTGTTTCAAGGTAATAACTCGCTGATATCAACTGTGAATAAGTCTAATAATGAGAATCAACCACGCCTTTGAAAATCTGTATATACACATTGAAGTAAACACCAGTGCATCTTGTGTGGTTTGGGTTAGAATAGATAAGCAGATTTATTTCTGTGTGTGAAGACCTTGAATGACAAAATACATTTACCCCACAGTGCTCTTGTCCTCTCAATTGGGCATCTAAATTTGTGTAAAATGGCATTACAGTTAGAATAAGGCAATGCGGATCATATTGATGAAACATAAATATTAATGAAACATTGATATCATTGATAAAGTTGATATTCATAAACTATTTTGTCTCAACATTTTGTCAACTCAGGATTTTTGAATCTTAATCTTAATCATTGCTTATCACCTTGAAACTGTGTTCTTGTGAAACTGTTAGCCTCATTTTCAACGATGGTGACTTTGCAGTGATTTTGCTTGTGGCAAATAGTTCAAAACGAACAGCGACTAGTGTCTCGTCGCTATATTTGAGACTCAGTGCAAACAAACACAACGAAAAGCTAAAAGAATTGTCTAATATCATGATTTATGCGCATTTCCCCTAAATATCACATCTATTGTTCACGCTATTTAGAAAACATGGCGCTTAATTAAGAAATGTACAGAAACTTGTATCATTAGTGTGCAATGGTCGAATATTCTGTTCCATTTATATTTTCATTGTTGTCTGGCGCTGTAGAAATCGTCCAGGTTAGAACTAGTTTCCAGCAACCCATGGTTGTCATAAGAGGCAACTGAGGGGATGGGATGGTCAGACTCGGTTGACACATGTCATCATGTTCCAAATACGTTGATGGATGCTCATGATGTCAATCAATTGACTGACCTCGATTATTTACAGGCCCAAAGAATATAGTTCGATTGTTGCTGACAGCAGTTTTAAACAAAAGAAGAAACTAATTCTTTCCAGTTGTTATTTTCTGAGATCTTTGGGTGATTTTCCTGCGTATTTATTTTTATTTTCCTCCGTGTAATGATGGTAATGATACAAGCTTACAGGCAGATCTTTCAAGAAATGCTGAAGAACAAACAGAAACTATAAAGTCGACAGTACGTTACTAGAATCTGTATCCAAACGTCAAATCACCTGAATAAAGTTAATCATGCATAAAGTTTGTCCTTATCTGACTGTCTAACGTCTAAAAATGTCACTGGAATCTCGTCGGTTCTTCGCCTCTCGCGAATCAACGTTTTTTTATGATTCCTCATGATCCGTCATCCCGGAAGAAAGCAAATAAAGTTATTATTGTCTCGAAAGTTGACGCATTTCCTTATCTACATGTAAAAAAACTTAAGATAAACATACTGTGTTGGAAAATCAGAGGTATATAGCGAAATAATAAGAGCTTTAATGTTTCTATTTTTGCAAATATAAATCGTAATTATTACGTGTTTTTCTTCCAGATCTATATTGACACGCTGTAAAGCCCACATAAATTCAGTCATGTCGCAATCGTTCGATTGAAAGCCTGATCCCAAAACGAGCCTCCCATGATTTACTATTGTTAAAGCCACGGAGTATTTCTGAGCACATCACATTATGCAGGGAGGGAAATCCGTTGTAAAGTCTTTACGTCACGTGTTACATTAGGCTCTCAAGTCTATGTTTCTCTCGATATATATTCCTTTACTTGTCGTCCTCAGTGTTGTCTGTGACATCACACTGACGCAAACGTTCAAAATAATCTGCCCTCGAAACTGCTTTCCATATGCTGAGAGCATCATCCTTTATAAAGGACATTAGGTTGCACATTTTATTGTGGTAAAGGTATTCGTAACTCTTGCACGTGAATGCCGTTTCTTGTATGCAGTATTGTTGACAGGCTGGTGCCGAGCTGGCGTCCCAGAAGGTTATGTCGTTGTGTCCCAAGACCAAGTATCCTTGAATTCTTGTGAAGGAATCTGAATACGTCGAGCAGTCTGCAACAAATATTAAGATACGATGTACAATCACTACGAGCAAGACAGGTAGTGTCAGGCTTCGATTTGGAAATTAGCTTGGAGTTCCTTGGGTTGTGTGAATCATTGGGGATGTCCTTTCAAAGACCCGCGAGTGCTAATGCGTGCAAGGAAACGGCTTTTTGTCGACAAGGCATATTACGCATGAATCTCTCAAAATACATTCGTTGGAATCCCCCCTACTCCCCCTGCAGCGCCTGACCAGTTTAAGCCAACGTAGACCGCGTATGACGTTGACACATATGTCGCAGAAGTCACCAATCAGGGAAAGTCAGGACTCATTGCTGACCACAGCTTTCTATGGACTTTGTGCTGCCGGGTGTGACCAATGACATTTCGAACATGGTGAGCACTGGCGTTGTTATTCTGAAGGACAGAACGTCGACCAATACGACTTAAGATGGGACAAGAAAAGTTGCCAGTATTTTGTCACTGTGCGGTATTGATAAGTCACTCGTACTGACGATGTGTCCCATATGGTGGGTTGTTCACAGCTAATCACTGTGAAATATTTTAATTAATCACATTTGTTACATCACGTTAACTTCTACTAATCTACTATTGCTTCTTCTTTTGAATGTGCGAAGCCAATTTCTCTATTTCTTTTCAACACTAAAATTTGGGATTGAAAGTTCTAATAATATATATAATTATTTATACATGATGTGCATTTTCCTACCTGGTGTTGTGGTTGTTGTGGTGGTCATGGTCGTTGCTGTCGTTGTCGGTGTTGTTGTCGGAGTTGTGGTTGGAGTCGTTGTCATCAGAGCTGTTAGCGTTGTTGTTGGTGTCGTTGTCGGAATCGGCGTTGTAGGCATCGTAGAAGAAGTAGAAGATTGAGTTGTTCTTGATACTTGATCATCTGGAAGCAAGCATACGAAGTCTGACACATATGTCGCAGAAGTCATCAATCAGGGAAAGTCAGGACTCATTGCTGACCACAGCTTTCTATGGACTTTGTGCTGCCGGGCGTGACCAATGACATTTCGAACATGGTGAGCACTGGCGTTGTTATTCTGAAGGACAGAACGTCGACCAATACGACTTAAGATGGGACAAGAAAAGGCGCCAGTATTTTGTCACTGTGCGGTATTGATAAGTCACTCGTACTTGTGGCCAGCGACGGTTACCCAAATCTGACGATGTGTCCCATATGGTGGGTTGTTCACAGCTAATCATTGTGAAATATTTTAATTAATCACATTTGTTACATCAAGTTAACTTCTACTAATCTACTATTGCTTCTTCTTTTGAATGTGCGAAGCCAATTTCTCTATTTCTTTTCAACACTAAAATTTGGGATTGAAAGTTCTAATAATATATATAATTATTTATACATGATGTGCATTTTCCTACCTGGTGTTGTGGTTGTTGTGGTGGTCATGGTCGTTGCTGTCGTTGTCGGTGTTGTTGTCGGAGTTGTGGTTGGAGTCGTTGTCATCAGAGCTGTTAGTGTTGTTGTTGGTGTCGTTGTCGGAATCGGCGTTGTAGGCATCGTAGACGAAGTAGAAGATTGAGTTGTTCTTGATACTTGAGCATCTGGAAGCAAGCATACGAAGTCTGTCGCTGACGTCACCGGAATACACACTTCTCCAAACTTGCATGGGCTTAATATGCAAGCATGATTCTGAAAGATTTATTAAATTGATCAACACATAGTCACGTGAGTAATTTGGTCGTAACGCCACTTTGAATACTTTTCTAAACTACCGGGCAAAGAAAAGTTATCACTTTTAAAGTAATTTTATAAAAAGTAAATACACTGAATACACTGGTAAATGTTTGAACCAAAGCAGAGGACATTCGCAAAACAACACAATTGTCCGAAAACTTCGAACGAATCCTTCATTTTTTCAAATTTCAAATAAATGCGGGACATTGGTCCTAATGCACGTGGATGATAGTGGCATAAATACTGCTGTTGAACAGAGCAAGCATGCGTAACCAAAACACCAACACGATTATGTCAAGACTTACACAAGCGCAACGAGACTAGGCGATTGTGATACCAATATGGGATCTTCACAACAAGAACCACCAACGAAAGCCAGGTCACCATTAGTAAATTGATAAACCCCTACCAGCAAACAGGCCAGACCCAAGACCATCAAAGATCGGGAAAACCAAGAATATTCACCTTCGGAACAGATTCGTGACGACGACAGCACGAAGACATGCAACCAGCAGACGAACGTTACAGTCCTTCAGCTGTTATGGATGGAATACGAGCCTTTCTTTCGCCCCTTACGTAGAATGTCCTTGACCCGTCTGTAGGACTGTGGCAGCGATGTGACTGGGAGAGAGTCCTTTTTACAGATGCCGGTTGGTCCAGTCTGTTCAGGGACGATGGCAGAGTTCAAGTTTTCCGACGTAGAGGCGAGCAACTGGCGCTAAAGTGCTTTCACGAAGATTCTACGTTCGATGAAGCAGGCGCCAGAGAACAACACGGCTGGTTAGCATCCACGGAAATCTGAACGCCCAGCGATACAGGGATGAAGTGTTGAGACCTTTTGTGGTGCCCTTTATTCGAATACAGCCAAGAGGGTTCATTCCCCCGCACGACAATGGACGGCCTCACACCGCCAGAATTGTTCGAGAATACCTGCACAACGTTAACGTGAACGTATTACCTTGGCCAGCGCGTTCTCCAGACATGAACCCCATTGAACATCTCTGGGATCATCTTGATCGTCAGCTGAGACAGCGTGTACCACCTCTATAGAACCAACACGAACTTGAACAGACTCTCTTGGACTTATGGAACAGGATTCCTGCGGACGTCATCCGCCAAATGACGATGTCCATGAGGATGTCCAGGGTGGTCACACTCGCTTTTCATAACGTCCCCTGACTCCTCTGCCATTGTTTGACTATTGGTACTTTTTAAATGAACTTTGCGACCCCTTGACTCTTTGTTAATTAATTTTACAATAAATCTTCAGCCAAATTATTGGAAAATGACTTCTGTTTGTGAGATAACTATCATAAATCTCACATGCGTCTTTGTTTCTATTTGTTTAGTCAAAAACTTACTTTTGCCCGGTAGTTCCGTGATCTAATGCAAAAACAGTGGGACACCCAAGTAGGTATCAATACATTACATCCCAACTATTGGTTAGACCCACTTCGGTTTTCTGTCCAGATGTGAAGAGGTCATTATGCGACGATGTCGCATTGGCCATGCAAGATATACTCATGAATACTTGTTAAAAGGTGAGTACCTTCTGTTTTGTATCCCTTGTGATGACAGAATCACGTTCAAGCATGTCTTGCTTGTCTGTATTGATTTTTTCATCACAAGGGATAAATATTTCAAAGTCAAAACAGTTAAGGATCAGTTTCCTAATGTTAATTATAATTTAATCATTGATTTGTTTAAAGAAATATAGTTGTTTGATAAATTTTGATTAAAGTTGTGTAAATAGATAAATGTTTTATGATTGGTAGTTTAAATTAACAACTGATACTGTTAGTGTATGTATCCTCGAAGGGGGTTAAAGTGTCGTAGAATTATTGCCAACCTGAGAGGCATGTAAGTCCCAAAACAATGAAAGTAAATGGAAACATTTTACTTTTTTTTAACCGCAGTATATATGTTATATTCATTTGTGGCTAGACTGTCTAAACTCTGAAGGGATGGCGTAAATCCAGCTTGGGTCCATGCAGAAAGCAAATGTACAGTAAGTCCTCATGGTCCCTTGTATGGACCTTCAGTTGCTGGCAATCCATGGCCTGTTTTTAAATTGTATTGTCATCTATAGTTAAATTGTTTTAGATGTACTTACTAGTTTTTTACTAGTTTTACATTTATATCTGTGATAATCTAGTTGTTTTACTGTCCTTCGTTGACAGGTCTTTAAGAAAATTACTTTTAATTACTACATATCTACAGCTTGATTGAGTCACGATATGGCTGAAATAGTGCTGATGTGACTTAAAATCTTAACTCACTCACTCACTCGAACCGGGATTCGAACCCGTGATCATGGGTTTCTGGCGTGTAAGAGGGGCTTACTCGTAGCCCTCAAGACATTGGTGGTGCCTTTGAAGACTTGGCCACTTGTGTCCCCTATAATGAAATACAAAACAATAACGGCATATGGTATATATGTATCCCAGAAGATGAGTATTGAACCGTGATTTTCACTCCAGTCTCCTCTAAACACCTAAGTACTTTGAGTGATATTTTGAGGAAATAATTTGCAACTAAGTACCTTTTTACTAATGGACATTTAGAGAGGCATAGTAAGTGATTGGAGCCTTTGGAAGTCAATTGGGCCTAGGAAGATGGAGTAGTCTACGACCAGTGGTATGAGGCTTGGTTCAAATCCTTTGAGAGTAATCTTAGGATGGGCCCAATTAATTTGATCATGGAATTGATACCCATAAATGGCGCTTACTTTCCCAGTAGGACCTACTTTTGGATTTTACTTATGTTAAGCAACACCTTTGAACTATATTAAATATATTTTAATATAATTTTAATTTTGTAGTGATAAGAAGGCAAAATTTGGGTAGTATTGTAAACCTGTACGTTCGTAATGACAAGGTCAAGAATAAGATATTCGAGGCCACGGTTTGTGACAACAGCGTGGTAAGGTAGTAGTAGTAGTAGTAGTAGTAGTAGTAGTAGTAGTAGTAGTAGAAGAAGAATAGGAGGTTTATTGTATTTTATGCCTCTAGCCCACTTGCAGAGTAAGTGTAAACAGACTGTAACTTACATAACACAGGCTGTGTTACTTTCTGGATAAACAATATTTTAGAATACGTTATTTCTTGTTGTTGCATGCTTTAGATATAATGACAGGACTAAATCATCAGAGGAGTTCGAGAGGAGTTTGCCGTGTTCAGTTGACAATACTTCGAACATTTCGGTGAGTACAGGCAGACATTTTGGATAAACAATATATTTGAATACGTTATTTCTTGTTGTTGCATGCTTTAGATATAATGACAGGAGTAAAATATCGGTACCATTTCTAGAGATCATTAAAGAAGAGAATGTAACTGATTGATTGATCATTAATTCTGACAAATCCAACCTCAATCTGCTTCCAGAAGACTTTAAAACGATCTGTAAGATTCAAATCGTGTGCTTTCGTTTAAATTTGAATGTTAATTTAAAACAAATTAATTCTATGGACGATCTTTGAATTCATTTAAAAGTATACAAACATTACCAACTGTGTGGGACAACGAGACAAATCCACAGCCGTATGAAAATAATATGTTACATTTGCGTACTGCCATTTGCTAGTACTTAATGAGCGTTAGATGAGCCCATTTCAGATGAATATATACGCTAAACACAAAAGGTTCGATCAAGGTCCCGCCAATCAAAGTGAGTTAAGTTGAAATAATATTTTTGGACAGATTAGAAGTCGAAGTCGTCTTCATGAATTTGTTTGCACACGAAGTGAAATCGTAAAGCACATTTATCACGTGTAATATTGAAATTTTGTATTTTTCATCTGAGCTACCAAGAGATGAAGAAGAAGAAGATAATTGAGGACAAGTTTTGTGACAACAGGTTGATGTAGGTGCAATGGTGTTGTTTCACTTACTGGCATTTTCAATGTGCGTCAGATGAGCCGATTTCAGATGTATAGATACAACCAACACAACGTTTGATCAAAGCAAGGCCTGGTTCATCAAAAATACATTATGCTCTAGGACATCCTCCCTTTGTCTACACCTATTTGTGATATCCTCTGATCGTCGAAATGATCGTCGAAAGACCAGGCCTCCAAGCCCGACCGGACAAGCATACCTTACCTTGATGTTGGAACCCACCGCAGGGACGAACAAGTCTCCCGTGGACGTCATCAGAGGAGTTCCAGTACCGGAGTCTTCCGAGTTCAGTTGACAATACTTTGTCTTCACGGTCCAATTTACAGACAAACATTTCGGAGAGTACAGGCAAACTTTGTGACAATGTTCCAGTGTCTTAACTTTCAACAACTGATAACCATGTCCCGAGAGAATTTTGTCGTATGAACCACCCAGATTCAGGATGGTGGTGGGGTTGATGCCGTTACAGATGGCGATAATAAATTGGAACAGCATCACACTGGATGTTGTCAACTCCATGGCCGACGGTAAACTGAGGCGTTGGAGTCCACCAACAGTATGTTCATCTCCTTTCTTGTGTAAATTAAATTCCAAACAATGACCGTCACAAGCAACTAAACGTTGCTTGGGAATTTGTAGGTCCCTTGCCACTGCATGAATAAAAGCACATGTATTCACTAACTGGCGGTCTTGAATCGTTAGTTAGTTCAGTTTGTTAAGCTAATGAGACTCACATATCCAATTATTGTCACTGATTCTAATTGAAACAAACGCATTGTTGTCGGGGGACAACGCAAATATATTGGTTATATTGTGTTTCTGGTATTTTAAGCCATTGACCTCCTGATAATTATATCAGATGTTTCTTTCAGAAATTAGAGTTGCGTAGGTAGACGAATGGGTGGATAGATGAAAGGGTAGGTAGGCAGACATACCCAGATATATAGACAGACATAGACACGTACACAGACATTCGCTCTCGCACATACAGACCCACAGATACACACAAAGTTGTTGGTTAGTTTGTTTGATGTCGCACTCAGCATTATATATGGCAACAGTCTAAATATTCCAGTCAGGACCAGGCAATCCAGTGATCAACATCATTAGTATCGATCTACGCAATAGGGATGCGAAAACATTTGTCCACCATGACAGCGAGTCTGACCACCCGACCCCATTTGTTGTCTCTTACGAGAAGCATGAGTTGCTGAAGACCATTTCTAATCCGGATCCTCATGGGTGAGATATACACACAGAGACGGATAGATATACATATGCACAAATTAACGCACACAGACACCGATATATGAAAACATACAGTACAAGGACACATTCCTTCACACACACACACACACACACACACACACACACACACACACACAAAAAGAAAAAAAATTCCGCGTGTGAAATTGGAAACATTTAATCTTATTAAAGCAAAAATCAAACTGAAATTGAAATTTCCTTGCAATCGGTGTGAAGAACACAAAAACGCGATTATCGACTATACCGGAAGTGACGGTTACCAAGACTACGCCACAAATCTGACAGTCACGCAGTTCACGAATTGATTAAAATGATTGTCGTGATTGTATGAAGCACTACGGGCAACCTAGGGAATACCTGGTGTAGCCATCCATAGCACAGATCACGTCCGCCAGTCGGGCAATCAAGCGTTGAATTCTCAGCATCTGACATTCCTCATGGTGTCCCTGCTTCAAAGTCTGCAGGTTTTGAACTGGCGGATCTCGCAACTGATGTTTTATATAGCCATCGGAAGATCTCTATGGTCGCAATAATTTTGATTTCCGAGTTATGGTAACAGTTGTCACTGTTCTTGTGACTTAAAGTGAAGCTTTTTAGGAGATAAACATACTCTGTTGGAAAATCAAAGATATATAACGAAATTATAATCGCTCTGAATTTTATTTAAAACCGAACGCGTAGCGTGATGTTTAAATAACAAATTTTGACCTTTTATAATTCTACCATGACTTCAGTAAATACTGGAATTTTATTGGTTAATAACGTTATAGACCTCTGATTTTCAAACACAGTATGTATTTTTAATACATTATAATATAATAGCTCTGAATGTAATTTAATACCGAACGCGTAGCGTGAGGCTTTAAATAACAAATTTGGAGCTGTTATAATTTCGTTATAGACCTCTGATTTTCCAACACAGTACGTATAGCTCCATTCTTCCATAACCGCATTATTAAGGTTTTAAAAATATACATACTGTGTTGGAAAATCAGAGGTATATTCACAATCCAGTATTTACTGAAGTCATGGTTGAAAATATAACACTACGCGTTCGGTTTTAAAATCAGATTTAGAGCTATTATAATTTCGTTATATACCTCTGATTTTCAAACACAATATGTTTATCTCCTACATACACAGGAACAACTTTCCCTTAGGAGTTTCGGGTCAATATTTGTCCCGCGCACCAAGCTGGTCGTGAGGCACATCCAGATGGGACTAGTAGTCAGACTCTGTCACCTGTTTCCTCAAAACCAGGCCTGTGTGGTTCGATGCACACATTCCTGGGTTGTCTGTTCAGAGATAAATTATTTACAGGTCACCTTTGTATAGCTGGAACGTTGCTACGTGTGGCGTAAACAAACAACAAACAGTATCTGGATGTTTCAGAAAGCTGGGTCTCCCTGGGATGGCCAACAAGATCACGGAAGGCATGCTCCCCACAAAGAATGTACTTAGATGGCTATACTGCTATTCACAAACCGATTTGTACGAGCGCAAACATTGATATGGAAATATTCTATACATGATCATGCTGCAGGTTTACTCCCACACTGCTATGACGGTCTCTAGGGTAATGAGGGCAGTCACATCAAAGGCTAATGAGTGAGAGAGTTACAATTTTACACCGCGTCGGCAATATTACAGCCATATAGCGATGAAAACAAGGTAAGCATTTTGAAATATCTGTCGACAAAGGACAGTAAAATAGCTGGGTATATCACAATTGTAAAATAAAACCAACCTGAACATAATTAAAATAAGAAGACAATATATTCAATCATTCATTCTTACAAATTAAAACCAGGTTTTAAACCACTAACAACCAAAGGTTGACCACCTTATTGGGGATCAATGGGACTTACAGTGCTTTTGCTTCCTACATGATTTTCCAGCAGGATTTACGCCATCCCTTTGGTTATCAGTGGTTATAGGTTATGCTAGCCAATATTTAAAATATTCAAGCCAATCAAATTCTAAAACACTAGACACTATTTTATGTTCAACAATTGCAACAACAGATTTAAGTGTCACTGGAAGTAGGACAATATTTGTACATTACTTCAACACTCTCAGTGTTACCACCATTTATGTTCTCAGTTGATCATAATATTAATCCAACTTAAAACACATATCGATGTCAAAATTTATCTATCAGTTCAATCAAAGGCTAGTGACAAGGCATGACTTGCAGAATTGAATTCACGCGGGACAGACGACCTTTCAATCCTCGTCGGGAGTATTGTATTGTTTTTACTACCCATTGTCATGTATATCTATGATCGTTTAAGGGGCGGTGGGGTAGCCTAGTGGTTAAAGCATTGGCTCGTCACGCCGAAGACCCGGGTTCGAATCCCCACATGGGTACAATGTGTGAAGCCCATTTCTGGTGTTCCCCCGCCGTGATGTAGCTGGAATATTGCTAAAAGCAAAACCAAACTCAGTCAGTCAGTCAGTATAATCGTTTAAACATAACAACGATTCATACATCTACCCTTTAGGGCAACAGGTTTTATATCTGTGCTTCTCATCGCTCGACTGACTGTAATTTGACCGTCGACCCAATAATTAATAGTGAGTGAGTGAGTTAATATTTAGGGTCACATGGGCAATGTTTCAGCCATATCGTGACGAGAACAAGTCAATGCAAGAGAACAATATTAATATCAATAAATTTAGAACATAAAAACCATTGTCATTGAAAAACAGTAAAAATACTACAGCATCACATATATAAATATTTAAACTGGCACGCTATCATGAAATTAAATTACTACAGGCAGTATAAAATAAAAACGGGCTATAGATCACCAACAACTGAAGGTAGATCACTAGGGTCCATGGGGACATAAAGTACCTTTGCTACCTGCATGGACCCTAGTTGGAGTTATACCATCCCTTCAGCCGCTGGCGATTGTAGGAAGGTTAAGCCGTAATTCAAAATCACACAATGCTACGTATGAAAATTCTGGTCAGTTTTGGGATTATTAAAAAGATCTTTGACCGTTTTAACACTGAAGTATTTATCCTTTGTGATGGAAAAATCAACACAGTCAAGCAGGACATGCTTGACCGTGATTCTCTCCTCACAAGGGATACAAAACTGAGGATCCTCACCTTTCAGTATACTACCCATCAACAGTTAAGACTCACCAGTGTAAATGTAGCCACTTACTTCAGTCAACGGCTCTAAACTAGATTTTGCTAAATATTCCATACTGTTTAAAGGTACTGTTTACACATGAACTGAAGTATTGTAAAGCAAATGCGTAACGTTGAAAAGATTATTTTCATGAGTTCAATAAATGATGAAACTTAGTGAAAATTGGCGAATTCTTAACGCAACTTTACACAAAAACGCATCTATTCACATGCACGATAGTAGGCTTGATTTGATGTAATTCATTGATGCCTACTTGGGTGTTCCCATTGTTTCAGATCACGGACATAAGATCTAATGGTAGCTTTATAATCTGAGGATGGAATGAGAAGTGGTGTCTCAGATTTATTGAGTGCTGCCTTAGCAGCTAAATCGGCCATTGTGTTACCAGAAACACCAACGTGGCTGGGCAACCAACAGAGGACGATGTCACATTACCCACTTGCAAGATCATTTTATAGTTCAATAATTTCAATTAAAAGTGGATATTTAAAAGAGAACTTTTTAATAGTCTGAAGGCAAGAGGGTCAATATTGTTTATATTTGGGGTGTCTATTAATGTATTTAAGAGCCGTTAGTGTTGCGTTTACTTCTGCTGTGAAAATTGAACTCTAATCTGGTAATCTAGAAGATATTGAAGGTGATAGACATTTTACTAGCGCCTCTCTTACCGCAAATGCCACAATGCCCCGGACGAGCGAGTGTTTAAATAACCACCAGGCTACCCAGTCACCCTAATTCGTTAGAACCTGTCTTTAAGTCAGGACCATTGTTTTCGGTTGTGGTGTAAAAAAGGATTATGTTTTGGCCCCGTACTGAATCACTTGCAACTTTCCTAGTTGGAACTACACGTAGGGTCCGAACTGCTGTCCTTATATCACGATCGCTACATGCATGTACGTGTGTGTGCGCGAGTGCATGTGTGCGTGCGTGCGCATATGATTGTTGTCGTTTTGAATTACGCTGATTTTAGTGATCGATCAGATATCGTGCGCAGAATAGCCGATTCAGATACTGTAAACTGACTCCGAACCAATCAGTGTATGTTTACCATACTTAATGTCACTTACTGTA